GTGGAACTTGAGATGCTTGCTAAATTGCAAACGCACAAACAAAAAATTCCAAGCCAAAAAGCCAACAAAAGTCCATGCACACCCTGTAAAACGTATTGTTACAACAGATGTTCTAAGACAGCTCAGCACCCTGAGAAACATCACATCATTCACTAGCCTACATACAGCCCAGCCAGCAAACCTACAAAATCAGAGATTATATTGGAGCACAGACTCAGAATGATAGTCACAAAAAAAAGACTCCAATATAACCAGGTTATCATTGACTAGAAGTTTCAGCAGTTAAGGAGAAGCTAAAAAAATAATAAAATAAAAATAAAGAGTTACTAGGAAGCAAAGACCAAGGGATTGCACTACAGGCACATTAGGCAGTGTCACTGCCCATGCAATTAACTTCAGCACAACGAAGCAAAACAACTCTTTGGAAACTGTACTGAGAAACAAGCAGAGCTTGGTCACAGGAGTTTATATGCTGTTGGATGGTTACATACAGAATGCCAGCAAAATGGTGTCTGTATCATGCCCTATATGAACATTTGTGGACATAAACTTAAATTCAATACTAAACACTCTGCCACAGTAAAGGAGTAAAAGCAAACGAGTGTGCTTGTAAGCACGTTCAGCCACGAGGCTGTACAGGACAATACTCAATGTTCTGAGGCAAGATCTCCAAAACCACCCACACAGGGAAGAACAAATTTTCAAGGCTATAATAGCTCAACTTTTCAGGCAGATAAGCTGCATCAAGGAGATCCTCTAGGTATGGTCAGAACCACTTTGGAGACATTCCTGACATACCAGTATTAATATTATATCACATTTTTATTTTTGTGTTAGAGAAGCTACCATCTGTGACAGAAAAGGAAGTTCAGCCCACATGAATAAAATTGTGAATTTTAGGACTCTGTGGTCATCTGAACAACACTGAGATTATCCAGCTGAAGCCCATCCATGGCACTGTTTACTCAGCAGTGTACTGGGGAGACAAAAAGTGCTTTCTCTCTAGGTGTATAAGCTTATAAGAGAAGACACAAGACAATATCCAACGATGTATGCTTTCTAAGGCTTGAATGAACGTGTCACATCATAAGCACCTTCATAATGTTTAAGCAAGGGTAAGTGTTAATAAATGTCTTAAAAATCCCACTTGACTCAAAAAAATTGTCTAAAGTGACAGTTGGTAGTTTTTAGTTATAATTGCACTAACCTTGCTTTTATTTCCAATAATATAAATGGTGCTGTTACAAGTCCCAGCACTAAACTGGGGAAAGCTCCTAAATAGGAATTTGCTGAACAGCTATGGCCAGTTTTAAAAGCAACTTCTTTGCAGAGTCACAAAGCCTATTTAGCTCCTTTCAAGCCGACAGCAGATTCACTGAAATGGAGAAGCCACTTTTGCAGTCAAAAAGTTGGATATGTTTTCCTTTTCCAAGACAGAGATAAAAATTAAGCCCAAATTAAAAAAAAAAAAGCAAGTTTCAGGATCTTCAAAGCAACAGTTAATAAAATTGATTAAACTTATTAAGCAAATGAAGTGTTAGTTGTAATCAGTCTTCACCAAAAAGCATTCTGATGAACTATTTGTATTTAGTAAGAAACTTTAAGTATGATGGCACAACTTCAGTTTCCATCTGCACTTAAGTTTAAAACTAACTCAAATTGACACGAATCAAAGCAAAAGATCTTGAAAATAAGGGGTTAAAATCCTGGATGCAAAATACTGTAAAAAAACCCAACCCCTAAATAAATGTTAAAATATTTTACTGCTTAGATAACAATGTAAGCGTAGCATGCCTTCCTTGCTACGAGTACAAACAACATTAGTATATGAACTACATAAATCAATGAGTTAAGCTACAAAAGAGTTGGTAGTTTTAAACACAAAAAAAAAAGTGGAGATCACAATCCAAATAGGTATATAAACCAAAAAGGTCTTGTGATTAGGCAAATGGAGATCCTATTTTCTTATAATTTATGAACACAGACTCAAGCCTCAATTCGTTTCTACATTCAGTGAGGCTTCATAAAATTCATAGAGTATGAAGTCAGAAAAAAATCCACGTAAGTGTAATTTTAGCTGCTGCATAAGACAGACTAAGACATTTTAAAATATAGTCAGGAGTAGAGAATACATTGCTTAATCAGCTCTGACCCAAGACAGTTTATATTTGTATTTATATACGTGGATTGCAAGTGCTCTTCCATAACAAGCACTAGCACATCATAGCTCTTGAGAACCAGCGAGCCTCTTGCTGGCTTATGTTAAAGAACGTGTAAGGCTGGTCTGGCTGGAGGAAAGCTGCAGCCACATCCCGTAAGATGTGCCTGTTGGGAGTCTTTGCTCAAGTTTCCTGAGTGCTTCTAAATTCATTTTCCACAGCCAGATAATACAATCCTTATTACTGGCAAATATCTGACAGATGGTCATAAAAACATTCATTTTCATTCCTGTCCAGCTGTAATTCCACAATATTGACTCATGTACATTCGCATTAATTAAACTTTCTCTATCTAGAATTGAATGCAATTACCTATAACGACAGACACAGCTAGGAGAGCAAAAAAAAAATTTAATCTCTGCAATATATATATATATAAAAAAACTAATAAAGTTACTACATACATAAGAAGGCTCCGTAACCTTAAATTTCTGTACCTGGAGGATCTTGGCAAATATAGCAGGTATATTTCTCAGGTACATTATCTTCCAGTAAACCCATACAGACTCCATGCTGCCAGCATAGACACTCTTCACACTGTTCAAAGTCAAGAAGTGCACATCAACAGAAATGAAGCCTACAGGAGCTCAGTAAGATTACCTCAATTAAGAGACACATCATCTATGCATTTTAAGACAAAAAGGTGTATTAATATCCACCACCACCCCCCCTTCCAGCTACAGGCAAATACATTAAAGAATCAGACTACAATAAAATTTCAACCCTTCCCACACATTTTTCACTGATTTCTGGAGAATGACAACAATTACAAAGTGGAAACAGAGATCCTTGAAAGGTGCAAAAATGTTCCCTTTAGAGATGAAAGTCTTTCACAAGATGCATGCACACATAATCAGGACAGAAAACAATATGCAACCAAGCTTTCTTTAGCAAAATATATCAAGTTTTCTGAATTAAAAGGTTTCCTCCTCAAACAACAAATCACATTCAATTATAAAATCCAAGGGATATTTACATCACATAGGACCAGCCAATATTATGCTTTACTGATACTTATATCGCTAACATTTTATCTATTGCTAACATAAAACTCAAGTGCAGATGCAGTTGTACTAACTTAATGTTCCAACATCCTTCCAAGTGTGAGCAACTGTATTGGCAAAGACTGAACATAACCGGGCCCTACACTTTTAGTGCAGTTATACTATTTAAAATGCAATCACTGTACTTAGAGCCATACAGTTTTAGAGCAGGAAAAACTATATCCACATGTTCTGTGCCAGTCACTGTCATCTGTCGTCCCCCCCCCAGTTTAACAAGCAGACAAAACTTCAACTGCAGCCTAAAGACCATGGAAACATAGGACAACCCCCACAAAAGAATATTAAGTCAATTTTGATTTGAAACTGTGCTGTCAGTTCAGAACTCCTATTTTTACAAGTAGTGAGACAACAGATCATAGCCTTTCTTTCTTATAGAATCATAGGATGGTTTGGGTGGGCAGGGACCTCACAGCCCATCCAGTCCCACCCCCTGCCATGGGCAGGGACACCCTCCACTAGCCCAGGTTGCCCAAAGCCCCATCCAACCTGGCCTTGAACACTGCCAGGGATGGGGCCTCCACAACCTCTCTTGGAGCACAAGCCAAAAAGTTTAATGCAGAGATCTTGTCAATATTGGCAAAACTTTTCAAAATGAGCTAAAACAAATGCGAACAGCAACTGCAAGCAGTCTTAGATGCTGCTCTTCACCAACCTACAAAGATGCCAACTTGATAAACATCTCGTCTTTGTTGAGCACCACTTATAGCACTTTTATTAATGGCACTCTTTGCTGCTGCCTTTCATCAAGCTAGGAGGGACCGAAGGGGACTACCAGTTTTTGAATACATCATTGTATTAAATTAGTGGCCCAGGTGTGGAGGATATAGAAGCACTAGGAGCAGAGAATGTAAAACCTTAGAGAAAAACAGGTTTCTGAAAGATCGGACTAACAATGTTTTGCCTTACAAAATGGGTAAACAGTCCTAAAGCAGTAAGGAGATGTTTCTGAAAAAGGCCGAGAGACCATCCATCACAAAGATGATTAGGAGGAGCCAGAAAAAGGTGTCCTAAAAGGAAGAAAACAGATTAAGAAAAATAGACTGTGTGCTAAAAATAAGAAGGGAACTCCTGGACCTAGTTACACTTGCATCTTATAAATCATGCCATATGGCAGAGCTACTCCCAGTGTTTTTCCAGGCAAATTTGCCCAGAACTCTAATGAAGTATTCCAGTTTTTTTCAACTTTACTCAACTGATATTTATATCCACCCCACCTGGGTACAGGTCCTTCCTTTTACCTGCATGTTCTACTTCTCAGCTTTGCCAGGCTACAGGCTATTGCCCTGGACAAATGCTACATAGAAGCTACCCCCTGCCCAGGCAGTAGCAGGGAGATTCAAAGCAAGCCAAATAATAGATTTTGAAGAGGAAAAACGTGCAGAGTTGTGCAATAATATTTAAATTGAAGTCCAAGTGCAAAAGAAATAACCAAATCCAACGGACATGTATTTAAAGCAGCTTTTCATCTGCCAGAACAAAAATATCCCAAGTCCATTTACATCCATCACCTCAGAGGCCACCAAATCCAGCCCCAGAATTCTCTACATCACACACAAATTCACCAATGTTTAGGTACAAAAACCAGAAGGAAGGGACAAGAACGTTTTGTTTGGACTTTTCTGGGCCCAAGCCTTACCCTACAAAGGGAGCACTGTGCCTTCAGAAGTAACACGTGGCAATGCTAAACTACTTTACACAGGGTCCATAAATGAAATCTAGTAACCTCCTGGCAAAGTTAGAGAGAGCGGAATGAAACAACATTGACCAATGATTTTTTTTTTTTTGGTATTTTTTCCCAGTTTTAACTTCTACTGAGGCAGGTACTTAGTTAAATACAAAATGATATTTCTGTGTCCCAGTGTAATGAATGGTATTCTTTATGCACAAATTGCTTGGAGACAATTAATTTAAGGCAAGTTCAAGATAAAGGAAGAGTTTTTTGCAATGTCTCAAAGCTGAATTTTTTTTTTATTTTACTACAGGTTTAAAAGCCTACATGGAACAAACTCTCGGTTTAACTTTGTAAACAGAGTTTCATTAAACCGTAACGGTCCCTGATCTTTCAGGAAAAATAAAGGTGCTGTTTGTGTTTAACATTTTTTTCCTCATTATTTCTAAATTAGGTACATTCATGGAAGTGAGCTCAGTTCAGAGAGAAAATGACTTACCATTCTCCCACTAACAAGATACCTGTATCCTGGGGGGAATGAACCTCCAGTCACGTGCACAGAGAAACTGCCTCGGCTCCTCACTTTGATACCCTGTCAAAGCAGGTTGGCACACAGGCGTCTACTCAAGCACATACCCCAAGCGTCAGCGTATTCAGTCAGATCTCTGAGTAATAACCAGGGGCAGCATAAACACCCCAATGGAGACAAGTGGAAAGAATGACAATATCCTTCTAAAAACCCATACACTGAGCAAAATTACGTATCTTCAGGAAGAGAGGACAACTCTAAATTCAAGTTCTTTACAGTAGACACTTCCAAATTTGAGTTTCCAAGTGTCAAAGTCTGAGTAGGAAACAGGGAAGAAATCTTTTCTTCTTATAAAGTTGTGACAGCTACACAGGATTCTCATTCTATAAAGGGAAGTGTCAATCTTGGCACTACACCTCTGAAAAGCTGAAAATAGGTTCCCCTCGTCATAATTCCACAGCTGTATAACATAGCATCTTTGCTTCGTATTAATGCTCTGCACTTACAGAGCTGACTCAGGCATTTCTGCATCAACAACAGAAGACCAGACTGGTCAAAACATTTTCCCAAAAACTACTGGCTGGCAAAACGGTGTGGGGAGCACAGCATTTGGTACCTTAAGCAAACCACCTGCCTAGCCCACCCCCAAAATCTTGTTACACCAGCTCCCTACTCCCCAATTCCTATTGCTTCAATCCCCATCACGACTACAGGTACTCACCACGCCGTCAACCTGCATCTCTTTTTCCAGAGAGAATAACCCGCTCTCCTGGACAATTCTTTTATAGCACAGCTGAAGTGTTTAAAACTTTCCAATGTACTCAAAATCCCAAACTAGTTCAACCTAGAAAGCTGATCCCAGAAGCAGCCCACAAAACCTGACACGAAAGCTATCCACAGACTGTGTCCTGAGCTAGCTGACAGTTCTCTGCATTCTGCAATCATAGACTAGTGTTGAGCCTACTTTTGCCAGAAAGTTATACTCCAAACGCTATCTTTGTGGGCTTTATTGAGCCACCTCCTCAGAAGACAGCCAGCCCCCTTTATTCCAAACTGTCAGCCTCCTTTTCCTCCTGTACACTCAGATGCTATTGATCTAATTTTGACCACTGCCCATCACTGCAACCTTTCCTACTAATGCAGAAGGTATCTTCTGTCCTGCACAGTCAGGATCCAACACTAATATAAAGGTGTGCATCAAAATGAACTCAGCTCCAAGAGAAAAAGCATCATACCTTCCAGAGCAAATTGCCATAAAATAGCACAGAAAGCCAAAGAAAACTACCCAGTGAAGTTAGCTGCTAAACTTCAGCCTTGAGGACAAAAATAAAAGAAAAACAAAACCAAAACCCAACAACTTAGCTGTGTTAGCTAGCCCTCTTAAAAGTTCTTTTTAAATTAGATTGTTAGTATGCAGAGCAAAAAAGGTGCAGAGCCAAGTCTTCTTCACACTACAATTTAAACAGTGCACTCCCGCCCCCTTCCTTCTTAGCAAGTTTCTGCTCCATTCAAGCAATAAAATCCACCAAAAAGTCAGCTGCAGCTGTGAGATAGGTAAAGATCAGCTTCTGTCTGTCCTCCTAGTTCCAAACAGCAAGAAAGAAACGCAGTTCAGAGTAACATGCCAGCAACTACCCCAGTAAGGGGTCCCACAAAGTGGGATTCAAATCTCACAAAAATTAGCAACAGAATGCCTGGGAAAGTGAATTCAAAAGCTGCAGATGGGGGTGAGCTTTGTGTGCCAGAAAAGTACTTCTGAAGTCAGTGTCATGCCGTCTCATTCCACAAATAAAACTTCCTCAAAAGAATGCAATAGTTACTTTAAAATTTGCAATGAGCACAGCTGCCAAGCTACACAACTGTCACTTTGATCTAAGGTCCCACAATAAGCAAAAGGTTATCTAGATAGGAAGGGTGGGAGCCTCCTAGGAAAAAAAAAAAAAATATCCCTCATTTCTTCTGAAAAGCTCCTGATCTCAGTTCAAGAGCATCACACACTCAAGCCCCTGCATATGCTTCCTCTAGGACTTTAAAGGAATTACCAAAGGGGACCATGCAGCTCACGTAAGAAGCAGTGGCAAAATGGCCTAAAGGAAAAAATGCTGAAGAAGGTTTTTTATTTGATACATTTGACTTCACTGTTTAAAATGAATAGTAACTGGGTGGACCAGTAGGTGGGGAAGGGTTTACTGATAATTTACAAATGCCTCTAAAAGTGAAAGTAAACAGCCAAGGCAGTTCCAAAGAGGCTTTTATCAACAGTTTTAAGCAGGAGAGATAATAGACACTGCTCTGGCTGGAAACAGTGTTCTGTAAAGCTGGTTTAAAAAGCGTACATATACGGAGGACAGACAGATGGCGTTCTACAGATTAGGAACTTTGAACTTACAAACTACAGAAGAAGCTGCAGAATGGATGAATGCAGCTCTGCTTCAAAACTAAAGGCTCAAGTAATGATTCTTTTGTTCATCCTATCTAGGGGATTGTATGTTTAAGTCAAGCTTCTTCCCAGGGCAGAGAAGTAGACAGGTACCACCATCTCATGGCAATGTTCTGAACATGCTCAGAAACAGAAGGAAGCAAAAAAGCCAGAAAAAGAGCCACTGGTTTTAAATACGTATTCTCTAAACCTAGGAAGTATTCTAATTTTTAGATAAATGTGTATCAACAAGTGACAAGCCAACTGTTAATGGCTTGTAAAGAATTGCCCCTCTTCCCTCACTTCCCTTCGATAAAAAAAAAACCCACAAGATTTTTCACAAGCTGTACCAAAAGTAAAGTTTTCTACCTATCATAGCAGCTGCTCACCCTGACCTTAAAAAATGTTACGGTTTCAGAGGACAACAGTTTATTTCATGTACAGATCGTAGCTGTGCATATTTCTACAACAGCTTTCCAACTGACATCTTCCACTGCATTCACCCTCCACTTCATACCTGAATCATGAAGTCATTTTCTTCTTTTACTTCACAAACACACCGAACAATCTCAAAATCACTTTCTTCAACTTCTTCGTCAGGGTTCGTGGTTACATCAACATCCTGACTGCAGTCATCATCGCTCCAAAGCAAGCTATCCATAGATGACTCACTCAGGGTGTCATCCTCTGTACAAAAAGTAGTTAGATAAAATCCTGAGTAATTACAGAAAGGTCAAATAACTCAAGATTTCATCCCAAGTATGCAGACATGTTTGTAAAAGCATGAGTTCACTGTGTAATTTAAGGAAGATCACAATGTATAGATCATTATGCATAAACAGTAAGTTTATTGAAGGTTACTACATACTGAAGTTTTATATTCTCATTAATGATTCTTTCAAAAATATTCCAACTTAATAGCTTCTGTCACTAAAACTGTACTCACAATGGACAGTGCCTCAAACCAGAGGCACAAAGTCTCTTTAGACAAGTATAATAAACAAAACCAGATTTATAAATTCAAACAGGATTCATACTAGTTTCTGTAAGTTGCATAGAATTGTGACTCAGTACTTTAAGTGTAGACCTCCCAAAGAGATAAGAGGGTTCTGTCTTACGAACCATTTGATCTCAAAGTCATGTCTCCATTACAGAAACATTCAGAGTCCAACACAGAATTTAATCCTGCTTCAGAAATGATTATTTTCATTTAGCCTCCTGTTGAGGACACATTTATCAATTTACAGGCAGTGCACTGCCCAAGGTATTCTTTAAGAATGCTCCCACACTACTTCAAGCATTTATGCATCTCTCTGGATTGAGCAAAACTGCCAAAGAAAGTCTTTATTGAACAACGTGCTAAATTGAGATGCTTACCTCAATATTATTAATACATCTACACCTTCCTTGGTGATACAATGGGGGGGGTGTCAGAGGGAGAAGATAAGGATTTTAATTATTTGGGACATACTCTAATGAGATGGAGGAGAGTGGAAGGTAAAAAAAAATAGTCACTCTTAAGTAGATTGTGGTCTCTCACCTATATTGGGCAGAACTATTTTGATCATTTGGCTCCTAAAACAAGACTGTAGAAATAGAACCACCACTCTGTGGTATAAACTCGATCCTTTGGGGAAACATCTGTTCTCAAATGTAAGGGGCTGAGAACCCAATGCATTAGTTAATTTTCATGTTTAACAAAGTTTTATTCCACCTCTGAGATACAGCAC